GGCCCATCCCAGCCCAGCCGGAGGTGCCGACTCAGTCTGCGGAGCGCCCGGAGGAGGCTGGGCCTAGCCCAGCCCAGCCGGAGGTGCCGGCTCACCCCGCGGAGCGCCCAGAGGAGGCTGGGCCCACCGCAGTCCAGCTAGAGCTAGAGGCCCTGACCTAGTTCGCTGCGCGCCAGAGCCTCCGCGTGTCATGTCCCGGCTGCGCCTCTGGGTCCCGCTGCTCCTCCTCACGTGGCAATCATTGTGGCTGCTGGTCCAGGCAGCTCAGCCTGCGGAGTGGGCCCTGGACCCTGCCCAGCTGACCTCCGACCTCCAGGGGCCCACTGAGCCCAGGTCTTCGCACTCCTCTAAATTCCCGCCCAAATCGCCCCAGGTACTTACACCCCCTGCAGAGCCGGGGGGCTTTCATTACTTGGGGTCCTCAGCTCCAGCCCAGATGTTGGCCCTGCCTAAGGAGTTGACTGAAACTTTGGTTCCGTTTCCGGACACGGATTCAGTTGGCGAGCTGCTCCCAGAGGAAGATCAGGATCTGAATGACAAGCTAACCCAGCTTTCTGAAAGGCTCCCAGAGGTGGTTCCAAGGCTAGGTTGGGATCAGAATCAGACCATAGCTCCGCCTCCTCGATTCAAAAGTAAGATTAAAACTGTAGGTCTAGATCAGGCTGAAGATCACCAATCATTTGAAATACTTGCTCCGCCTCTGGATAGTCACAGTTCAAAGCCAACAAAGTTCATTGTTTCACCCCCAAACCTGGAGAAAGATCTAGCTCAGCATCAAAGGCTTGCCAAAGTTGTTGGAACTCCATACCAATTTACAAATAAAGACCACCTAGAACAAGAGTTGCAGGATGATGATTCAGATTCCAGTATGGATATCCTATATCCTGAGGAGAACCTGCCAATGGATTTCCCAGGGGGATCAGATCAACCTCCAAAGCTCCCTGAGGAGGTTGAAATTCCTCCACTCCGGCAGGAGACCCCAAATCATCTAGAGTTGCCTGAGGAAGCTGAATCTTTTTTGTCTCAGGTGGACGCCCAGGCCCAACATCCAGAGCCCCCTGAAGAGATAGAAACATCTCCAATTCAGCAGGGGTCTCCATCTCCGCCTCCAGAGATCCTTAAGGAAGCTGTAAACCCACAGGAGGCCCCAGCTGAGCCTTCAAGTACCGTTGAAGAGATCCAATCTTCAGTCCAACAGGAAGCCTCAGATCAACCTACACAGGCCCCTGAGGAAGTAGAACCTTTGACCCCTCAGGAGGCCCCAGCTCAACCTCCAGAGCCATCTAAGGAGATGGTACCTCAACCAACAGCACATGAGGTGAATGTGCCATCTCTAAGTAAGAATGAAGCTCAGTGGCCAAATTTCTCCAATGTCACTGTTGAACCTGTGGATCTGGTACTTACTGTAACTCTAACTCAGCCTCCAGAGCGCACCGAGGCAGCTCAGGCTTCTCCAACCCAGCAGGAGGCCCCAGCTCAGCCTGTAGAGCGCCCTGAGGAGGCTGGGCCTACATCAGTCCAGCTAGAGGCCCCAGTTCAGCCACTAGAGCTCCCCGAGGAGGCTGGGCCCACTCCAGTCCAGCCGGAGGTGCTGCCTTGGCCAGCAGAGCTCCCCGAGGAGGCTGGGCCCACTCCAGTCCAGCCGGAGGTGCTGGCTCAGCCTGCAGAGCGCCCAGAGGAGGCTGGGCCCACCGCAGCCCAGCTGGAGGCCCCGGCTCTGCCTGCAGAGCGCCCCGAGGAGGCTGGGCCCACCCCAGTGCAGCCGGAGGCCCCGGCTCAGCCTGTAGAGCGCCCCGAGGAGGCTGGACCTAGTCCAGTCCAGCAGGAGGCCCCAACTCCAGTTCCAGAGTTTCCTATGGAGTATCTACTTCAAACTTCAGTAAGTGATGAGGTGATAAGTCAACCTATAAGCCACTATCTAACTTATTTAAAGTTTTCCAGTGTTACACATAAATCTGCGGATGTGGAACTTACAATAACTCCAGAGCCGGCTAAGGAGGTTGAATCTTCTACAGCTCAGCAGGAGGCTCCACCTCAGCCTCCTGAGCATACTGAGGAAGCAACCCAGCAAGAGACCTCAGCTAAGCCTCCAGAGGCGGTTGAGCTTTCAAGTGAGCAGCAACCAGCTCAGCCTTCTCAGTCTCGTGATGGGGTTGAACGTTTTCTAACTGAGCAGGAGACCCCAGCTCAGCCTTCAGAGCCTCCTGAGGAAGCTAAGCCTCCAAGCGTACAGGAACCACCAGCTCTGCTTTCTGAGCCTGGTGAGGAATCTGAGCTTTCTCTGACTCAGCAGGAGATCCCAGCTCAGCCCCCAGAGAATCCTGAAGAGGCAGAACATTCTCTAGCTCAGCAGGAGCCCCCAGCTCTGCTTCCAGAGCCGTTTGGAGAAGCTGAATCTTCCTCAACCCAGGAGGAGACCTCACCTCAGCCTGCAGAGCTCCCTAATGAGGCACACTCTTCAACCCAGCAAGAGACCCCATCTCAGTCTCCAGGAGAGATAGAATCTTCAGCAACCCTGCAAGAACAACCAGCTCAGCCTCCAGAGCTGCCTTCTGGGGAGGTGGAACCTTCTCCAACCCAGCAGGAGCACCCAGCTCAACCTCTAGGGCATCATGAGGTGACCGTTTCGCCTCCAGGTCACCATCATGTTCAATATTTAACCCTGCCCCATGTCAGTGTTAAACCTGCGGATGTGCAGGTTACTATAACACCAGAACCCATTACAGAGGTGGGACCTTTGCCAGTTCAGCATGAGGCTGCAGCTCAGCCCTCTGTGCCCCTTAATGTGGAACCATTTGCAATGCAGCATGAAGCCCCAACTCTGCCTCCACAGTCCCCTGAGGAAGCGGAACCTTTGCCAGTTCAACAGGAGACTCCAACTGAACCCCCAGAATCTACCACACAGGAGAAACCTCCAACACAGCAGGAAACCCCAGTTCAGCATCCTGAGTATCCTGGAGAAGTTGAACCTCCCACAACCCAACAGGAGGCCCTGGCTCAGCAATCACAGGGCCCCGAGGGTGAACCATCTTCAACCCAGGAGGAGGCCCTGGCCAAACCTCCAGAGACCCAGGAAGAGGGTGAACCTTTTCCACCCCAGCAGGAGGCCCCAGCTGAGCTTCCACAGACCCCTGTAGAGGCCGAACCTTCCTCAATACAGGAGGAGAGCCAGGGTCATCATCCACAGACTCCTGAGAAAGTTAAACCTTCAAGCCAGCAGGAGACCCCAGTCCAGCATCCACAGGCCCCTGAGGAAGGAAAACCGTCTCCATCCCAGGAGGAGGCTCCAGCTCAATTTCCACAGACCCCTGAGAAGGGTGAATCTTCAACCCAGGACGAGAGCCAGGCTGGGGATCCGCAGACATCTGAGCAGGTTGCACCTTCTCCAACCCAAAAAGAAGCCCCAGCTGAGCACCTGCAGACTTCTGAGGGGATCAAACCTTCTACAACCGAGGAGGAGTCCCCAGTTCAGCACCCTCAGGTCCCAGAGGAGGGTGAGCCTTTTCCAACCCAACCAGAGACCCCAACTGAGTATCCAGAGTCTCTTGAGGGGATTGAACCTTGTCCACCCCAGTCAGAGGCCACAGTTCAGCATCCAAATCCCCTTGGGGAGGTTAAACCTGCAACCCATCAGGAGGCCCCAAGTCAGCAGCTACAGACCTCTGAGGAAGTTAACCCTTCTGCCACCCAGCAGGAAGCCACAGCTCAGCATCCAGAGCCTGCCGGTGAGGTGGAACCTCCTCCAACCCAACAGGAGGAGGTCCTAGCTTACTCTCCAGAGCTTCATGTGGTAACAGTTTCTCCTCTAGGTCAGAGTCAAGCTCAGCTTCTGCTGTTGCCCAGTGTCACTGTTAAACCTGTGGATCTGGCACTTACCATAACTCCAGAGTCCACTAATGAGGTTGAAACTTTTCTACCCCAACAAGAGGCCTCAGCTCAGTCTGCGGTGTTCCCTGAGCAGTTGGAACCTTCTCCAATCCAGCAGGAAGCCCAAGGTCATCCAGCCCCCGCTGAAAATGTTGAACCTTCTCCAATCCAGCAGGAATTCCCAAATCGGGCTGAAGATCTTCCTGAGGAAATTGAACCATCTCCAATCCACCAGGAGGTCCCAGATCAGCCTCCAGCACCCCCTGAAAATTTTGAACCTTTTCCAGTCCAGCAGGGAGTCCCAATTCAGCCTGAAGATCTTCCTGAGGAAATTGAACTTCCTCCAAGCCAGCGGTGGAGCTCAGCTCTGTCTCAAGTGCCTGTTGTGGGTGTAGAACCTTCTCTAGTCCAGCATGCGGTCCCAGCTCAGCGTCCAAAGCCCAGTGAGGGGATCGGGCTTTCTCCAGTCCAGTATGAGCACCCAGCTCAGCCTCCAGAGTCCTCTACAGATATTGTATCTCAGGCTCCACTACATCATGAGGTGACATTCTCACCTCTAGGTCCCGGTCAAGCTCAGCATCCAATGTTGCCCAGTATCACAGTTCAACCAGTAGATCTGGAGGCTTCCATAACTCCAGTGCCAACTAAGGTTGAACATTCTCCAGTGCAACAGGAGGTCCCTGCTCAGGCTCCCGTTCCCCCTGAGCAGATTGAATTTTCTTCAATCCAGTTCAAGCCTCTTT